CTTGTGGTTGTTTACCAGATGGGGCAGGAATTTGGCTCACAAAACACCATCCATATCCACTTGGGTGGGATTTGCATGCATACAAGTCAATGTGTAAAGGATGGGTGCAATCAGATAGGATATTGTCAGCAAACTTCAAACACGCATTAATATAGACATATTGCCAATCAGAGAAGATAAAGGAACTTGGGAGACACGGCTGATCATTGAGAGGCCACGCCTCAGCAACTTGCAACCAGCTTTCAACAAACCAGGGAAAATTACAGGAAAGCAGTACAGGGGTATAGGGTGAACACATTGTTGAACGAAAGCGTTTATCACCGACGGGTTAGAACAGAAGTGGCACAGTCTTCTTATCTAAAAAGAGAGCCTTTTTAACTTGCGAGCAATACTTTGGGTATGTAGGGACCAGCGAAGGTTATTTTCAAGTGTGACACCTCAGTACTTCACATGGCTGACCCTGCTCGTCGGCTTTCCATGAATCTGGACATTGTCGGGGGGAGATGGGGTACGGTTTAGAGTAAAAATACGTTCAAGGCATTTTTCAGGATTAAGATTAAGACCCGAAGAAGTGGAATATGAAACGAGGTGGGGTAGGTTTGTGTTATATTCAGCCAGTTCTGATTGGTTAGATACGGGAACAGAAATGGCGATATCATCAGTATACTTAAAATGTCGAACAGGGAGAGTAACAGTTATAAGTCGAAAAAAGATAGGGTATTAGGACAGCACCTTGAAGTACACCCGAGCTATTGAGTGATGTGGTTGCCTGTCTTATTCCCAATTTAACATACTGATGTCTTTGCGAATAGTAATCAGCAAGCCATTCAAGAAGAGAAGCGGGATAGCCGAAAGATTGCAGCTTGTTTAGCAAAAGAGAACGGGGCACAGAGTCAAAGAAGAAGAATAGTCCGGAAGAATAGTCCAGAAACGCACAATGCACATATTTGTCTTTCTCATTAAGGGACTTACAGATGAAATGAACTAGAGAAGAAATGGTATGTGATGTAGAGCGGTAATGTTTGTATGCAAACTGATAAGTGTCATCGTGGGTGGTACGGGATAACTGAAGACGATGTAGAACTGATTGCTCCATCAATTTCAAACCAGTGAAAGTGAGGGCAATTGGTCTGAAACGCTTCGCTATTGGGGCCTTTGACATTCCTTTGGAGATGGGGGTAATTCTCACTGGGCGCCAGCAGTCCAGAATAGTTCGGAGTTCCAGTGAAAGATTAGCTATGTGTGCAAAAATTTGAGACAGTGCAGAGCACCGTGTTTAAGAAGGGTGAGACTTAAGTTGTCTGGACCAGATACGTCCGACACCTTGAGATAACACGTGTTTATACATCTCACTAGAGGTGATGGAATCAAACGAGGGTTGGATGTTTGGAGAACTGGAATCAACATAACTGGGGTATGTGTCGGACGAAGAATGAATAAATGCAGCATTCAGTTTTTCAATATCAATAAAGGGACTGGAAATCACTTCCTTCTGCCCGCAGAGTAGATTGATTCCACGCCACATAGATTTACAGTTCCTAGTCCCAAAAAACTAACTTGCATAAAGGGCGTCCAACCGTCTTATTTCACTCTTAATTAGAAGTGACAATCGGTGCATCTTGGCCCTCCTACTACATTCAAATGCACGTTCCTTGCGTACATTGTGAGCTTAGCAGCGATCAATGAAGCTCGCTTTACTGTATCTCGCTGTACGATGATGTTGATTCCTTTTCACGGCGAAGACGTTTAAGAAAAGGTGTTGAAGGAACAAAGTTATCACAGGACAGCATATGTCAAAAACACAGTTTACCACTTCTGCTAGAAATGTAATATTTGACAAGCAGGTCGTGTTTAAAGGAAACAGTCGGTAGCTACCTTAAGAGACGATCAAAGCAAGGCAATATTGTCTGGGGAAAGATCTCGCTGACGAAACGTGATGTGTTCTGGCCGAGTAAAATAAAAATGTCCTGAGTGTGAGTAAATCTTAGGTCTGACGAGGGTCAGGTTGTGGTCACTGGTGCGTAAGGGGGAGAACTGTTTGGTGGAAAAGGAGTCAGCGTCGTTTGTGATTATGTGGTCTAGTTGAGAGTTTCCTCTAGTCGGTTCAACAATCAGGTCACTAAGGTTTAGACAAAATAAAGGGTGCAGGGGGGCATGGTTAAAGTCACCAGCTATTAAGTGCAAGCTGTCAGCAAGAGATGGGGCAATAACCGGTAGGAAATTACCATAAAATGTCACTATCTGACAATCTACACTGGGGTGCAATGTATAAATTAGCAATAGCGATATAAGGAAAGCGGAATAATTTGGGGTGACAGACGACAGTCAAACAATCAATGCCATTCTGTGAATATTCAAAAAGTACTTCGGACTTGCCGCACCGATTGGAATTGATGTAAGTAATCACACTGCCTCCCAACTTCTTCCTACACTGTTGTCTATCCTGTCTGAAGCAGACGAAATTATCCAGTTGGACCACGGAATCGTCCATATCCTCATTGAGCCATGACTCCTGAAGACACAAGACACAAGAGGTGCGAAATTCCTTTCGCTAGAGCAGGTAGGATAAGTCCGGAAGCTTCTGAATCACAGAACGGACATTGTTACTCAC